ATTGTCACTGGACCCATCCCTGCCCAAAGGGACAGGAAAACAAACAGTTTGCTAATGGAATTTTTTTGCATAAAATACATTAGACCGCTGCTGTTGGCTGACCATTACTAGGAAAACACGGAACATTCATCTTCAACTATTTTTCAGAAAAATCAGGTGACTGGGCATGAATTCGAGATCAATAATTGAGCAAAAACAGATAGTACGTTATTTTCCTTGTCAGTTCAACTGAAATAAAGTCCTTTTACATAAGCGAAGGAAACATAGGGCAAAAAAGATAAAGGAAGAAGAAAAAAAACAAAGACTGAAACCATTATGCTATGAAATGCACAAGAGAAAACACGAACAAAGTTGCAGAGCGGGGGTTTATGATTCTCAGAAATACTGTTTTACATCTGTATTTTGTGAAGACAAACAATAGGTAACATAATACTACCACTCAACATGGCGACAACTCTCTCAAACAGAAATAACAACAAGAGAACGCATGCTCTCTTCACACACTTCACTCACACATGATCAGTTCACTCAAAACAAAGCGTGCAGATCAAGTCATCTAGAATGGCATATGATTATTACATCGAAACAACAACCCTCACGACAAAAAAAATTCCATTGTACAAGACAAATGTGAGCCTCAGTCATGTTTAAGACAGTCAAAGACACTTTCATCTCCTCAGTTTAAAGGTCTCAGAGCAGGGCCCTGTGAAAGCTGTTTTACGCTCCTGTTTAAGTAAGGGAGCAGACATCTCTGAAGCATTTTCAGCACGACTCAACTTATATATTTGCTCTTCGTGTGGCCACAGTGCTTTTGGGCACACCGTGCTGTCAGCTTTGTAACTTAGGGAAGAAATGTTATTTCCCCTAACCTTCTGCATCAAGTTTGTTGTTTTCTTTTGTGGTGATCACAAGCACATTGGAAATGCTACAATGCAGCTAGCTACAATGTCAGTGTTTCTCCATCAGAAATAATTGTACGGCTTATACCAGATACCTCAGCACAGAAATAACCACTGAAAACTACTGGCAACACTTCTTGTCCATTTCTGAAGCTTAAGCAAGGCAATGTACTTTTAGTTAAATAAGCATAAAATAAGCACATGCAACAAAAAGAAAGCGATTTCAACTACATTCAAGTCACATTTAATAATCATTTACAGTTTAAAAAAAACACACACAGTAAAAGACATACAAAATATTGGTGCCCCCTTCACAAATGCACAACAAATTACGGTATATCATTAGCACATCCCTTCCATTCTTCCTTCTCTTCAGCAAATCTCTCCTTCTCTTCTTAAAATCAAGTCATACGTTCTAAAGACCCCTTTGTTCGTAAAAACATACAATACACCTTCTAACAAAAAGAAACACAAAGCAACACTTTGATCAGAGAAACAAAAACAGTCTATTCTAAAAAAATAAAAAAATTCACTAGAACAATCAGGCTGTAAAAAGAATTGGCATAACTTGTGATACTTTCTTCTAAGTTTCCCAGCAAAGCCCCAGGAGTTTAGTATTTTCATGCAGACCTTGTTAAGACACACAACAGCTATGTACAAAGCCAGGGACAACCATTCAGTTGCTTCATTTTTTTGTACAAGGAAACTACATTTATGTTATACTGGAAACACAATGAAAATGTCATTCTATTTTCATCTGAGACAAAAACGCAATGGGTGCAGAGTACGAATGCCTGTTGTTAATATCAAATTCAATCAGCTTTGTGCCGTATCGTGTGTGCGTGTGAGAGTGTGTGTGTGTGTTTGTGGGTTTTTTTTGTGAGTTTGTTTATGAGTGTGTGTGTGTTTTGGGGTGTTTGCGCATGCGAGATGTGCATCTCCAGTGCAAACAACAGACTTACAAGCAATGGTCAGAAAATGGCTTGGTGAGAGTATGAAAAGAAATCTAAAAGCAGCTTTAAGTATGAAAATATTTTCGAAATCATAATTCATCTTGAGCTACTGGTCAAAGTATCAGTTGAAAATTTTCCCTGGTGATTAGATCACCTTTGGTCGCATGGTAAAGTTTTGGAATAATAAAAAATCTCCATTGGTATAATTTTGTAAATGAAAATGATATAACAGTTGTAATCTTTATTTCTTAAACTGTGGAAATTTTAAACTTTTGTGTCCCTCCAGTTTTCTCTTCGTTCACATGCAATATAATAAGCGTGAGTAAACTGCACTCCTTTTCAAAACCTAGACATAACAAATGCGAGGAAAGACGAAATTATGATGATCCATCCACACAAGTGGCAAAGCAAGCTCAGCACTGATTAGACTGGACCTGGTCTCCTGAGTAGTAACAGTACAGTTTGCATAATGAATTCGTGGAAACAAACATTAACTTCTCGACTTAATCCTGCCCCTGACAATGATCCAGTGCCTTCCAGTTCAGTCATAACTAATATAATGTGAACTCAAATTTTAAAAATCTTTTCGACACAAATTTTTCAACAACAGAAGAAAAAACTCCTTATAAGTATCCCAACATCATCTTGTTGAAGTCTGATCATTAAGCGATCAGAAAGTTTAGATAAACGGAGAGGGGAGAGAAAATAACTCAGCACATCACACATTCTTGCACCTTCCTAAAACCCTGTCATAAGTTGATGCATGAAAATAGCCTGTACACATCATTAAAAAAATGGATTGAACGAATGTGAAAGAAGTATGGCAGAATAAGTTACATAACAAAATTTGATCCCATTCTTATTGCAAGGCATGCAGTATTTAGACTTTGAGGAAGAAAAGTGTTGAATGATGTGATTCGATATCACTTTTCCTTTTCTTAGCTACAGTCTGAGATGACTGTTCAACTTCTAATTCTACAGGAGATCATTTCAAAGAAAACGTCAAATTTTACAAGCAAAGGGGGAGAAATAAACAGGAAAAAAATTTTAGAAAAAAAAGAAAAAAAAGTCTTGTTTACCTCAAAAGAAAAAGAAAAAGTAACAGTCCAGTAATAGTGTTATTTGTGATTCTTTTTGAGATTCTAGACATGTTCACCTTGTGTTCATTTAGAAGCGACAACTCTCATGCAATGTTTTTCATCATCAGATAAATGTTAATTCTCTCTTTGTTTACAATGCTCTTGAGTGTTGAGTTCGTCATTCACAGTGAACAACCCCCCCCCCCCTCCCAAGTCAGAATCATGGTTGACAGACATACGCAAGATGAAAGCAAGGGGATGGTACATGATAATTGTTATTCAGTTCTGACATACCAATGGAAAAATATGAATAAAAATAGTGAACAAGATTTATACATAGCATATTTCATCAAATAATGCACACATGTATGAAACTGTAAAAAACATGGGTGAGCTCTCTTACGCAATGAAATCTTGCTGTACACAGTGGCTCCCAGTGAGTCAATGTACAAAAACAGACGCATGACGAGAAATGAGCTTAATCATCCCAGCTTTGCATTTTTTATACGTTCCCCCCCCCCCGCCTCCCCGACACATTCTGCACAATTTTACTACCGGCAATAAATATTGCATACATTTGTAAAAATTTATAAATCAATTTGAACAGTAATATGTAAATTTATAAACTGTCATTTCCCTAAAAGTAGAAGCTGTGAACTCCCATATATGACATTTGAACTTCATAGAGGTAATGATATTACACATTAACTATGCTTCTTAAGCAAATCTGGGAAACAAGAATTTTCATGGTACAAGAGACCACTATTTTATGATTGAAACGGTTCCATTAAAGTGAAAGTTCACCTCGAGTTTCGGTTGAAGTATTCATGGATTTATTCTAGTTCCAATATTCCTTGATTTATTCCTGTTCCAATATAATGGATTTTGAAAAGACCATTTCAAACTCCTGGTCCACCAAACATTATCTCGGGAAGGGGCAAAGTATGGAATACTTAAGCACTCTCTGTCGGCACATGCAACAATCATCGTGAGATGGATCCCCACCTACTATGCTGACCATCATGGATGCATTATGAAGTTTACAAAATCAACAAAACCATACAGAAGAAAAATTGGGCATGAATTTCTTGTGCACATGCTATTTTTTAAATCTCAAACCCCTACACAGGGGCAATGCTTATGATGAGACCGGAAACCAAAGAGGTATGAGCAATGGCTTTAATTATCATTAGGGCCTTTTTCCGATTTTTTTTCTTTGGCTCCACCACCCCAATAACTCAAAGACAGAACTCAGTTCGGGTAGAATGCAAAATTACGACACAGAACGCAGAAACAAGGCTGTAGTAGTGAGTCCTCCGAGCTTGTAGTGCAACAGAAAGTATTTCTTTTTCCCCCTTTTGTCCTCGTTGTTAATGTGGCGGAGTTGAAGTTATCTATGTCCCATCTCTTGTCGTATAGCTGCAGAAGAAATAGGTTTGAAACCACGGTTATTCCTTTGTTCTCATTTTAAGTGAAGAAAATTGGCATATTAACATTCTTATAGAGCTTGGAACATTAGTAAAACATAAGACTGAAATAAAAGGCAGAGAGAAAAACTACACCGACACAAACTAGTAGTCTAAAACTGGTCCACCAACAACAGCATGTTACTGACGATCCTTAACTTTTGTTATACGACACATGAATAATAATAAATCGTCTCAATTTCTAAAAAGAGATCAACGTACTTCTGATTGATAATCAAGCCCCTGTAAAACTTAAAACCAAACTTTTCGCTTCCAGTTCTCAAACTTATAATATCAGACCAAGCATGCAAGTACAATGAAGCACAGACAGACAGACACACCGGCGCACAAATTCTTGTTCTTATACATATCGCGACTTCAGTGCTTTCTTACTGTATCTACATTTTTTTAAACAGTGAAAATGTGACTTCTTCCTAAACTAATTTTTTGTTATGAACTCTTTTCACTGTTATTAAAAATGGAGATACGACAAGAAAGCAAAGAGGTCGCACGATATGTGAGAGAAACTACCTCATATAGGAACTAACACGCATGCATGCACAAAACATTCTCTCTCATCAATCACATGCAAAATATTCTTACCGTCAATAATTTCACTCTTCATCTTGTTCATCTCTCTTCTCATCTCAGTGAGGATCTCCTGCTTGAGGGCCTCCATGTCCCCACCGAGAGCTCCTCCGCCGTTCACCGGGGCCACAGCTTCCTGTCCGGTCAGTGATGGATTCCTTCTGAAGGACAGCACAAATGGAAGAATGTGGATAAGTTAAGCTGTATTCGTAAGGAGAGTTAGAATGAATCCATTTCTAACATTTTAGCATCATCATCGTTACTGCCATCATCATCATCATCATCATCACAGACCAAACAAACTATTCCCCTTTTTCTTGTTTTGTTTTCTTTAAAGTATAACAGTTTGTACCATGTTGGCACGTTTTTATGTAACTTATAAATATCTGTACCAAAATCAGGACACGGGACTAAAAAAAAAAGAGAAGAAGAAGAAGAAGAAGAAGAAGAAGAAGAAGAAAAATGAATCCTAATGTCAGATTAAAAACTGATGGAGGAAAAGAAACAACTATAAACACTTCCCCCAATTAAGAAATTACGTAACCCTATCCGTATGCCCTGGGTAACTTTGTACCCCCGATTTGTATTCTTCACATTTTAGAATACTTCTTGTACAAAGATCTCTTTGAAAATTTCAGTATTTCTTAAAAAAACGTCTATTGGATACGATAGTAAAACATGACGTACGGATAGGGTTAACCATTTAATTGGTACATTTTTGTGTCAAATGCTTGAAATTAGCAGGGAAAGTTTAAAGTAAAAAATGGCTAACTTGACAACTTCACATATGAGACTAGTTTCAAGGTGTTTAAGCAGTTATTATTCTGCATTTAAAAAACCCCAAAACAGACTATACAACCTCATGAGGCCTCCACTTGAGACATTTCAAGAAAACCTTTTCTTGATGGCAAAAACACAGTTTGAATGTAAATAATTTTTTCCCTTTTCCCTGCATAGCCTGTCTGTATTTAGACACATTTCACTGGGCCTTAAAAGCAAACGTTCTCCAGATACTCATGGAAACGGTAATAGCAATTACAAACAATTTAAAATAGTTGAAACCATAACACAGCCTTGATATAGAGGTCTCATGACAAACCACCCACTTTCTTATTGGCTTTGGTGATTCCGAGCCATTCACAGGCCTGTTGGCTCCTCCATTGCCCGCAGATTTCTCCCAGGGTCGACGTACATCGGGCGAGGAACTGGGCCCAGGAGGAGCTGGATCAGCATCTCCCTGGTTACAAAAGCAAACAAAATGGTTTACAAATAAACAAATTTACTGGGTTTAATGATCAATTCAAGATGGGAAGGGGGGGGGGGGCAAGGGGTAAGGGGGAGAGAGAGAAGCTCTTAGCCCTTACTTGCACAAAGAAGATAAGAAAAATATTTAAAAAATGAAAGAACTGGTAGAAAATACAGAACAGGGCTTTAAAGTTTCAATTAAAGACATAAACGTTTAGAACTGACAAATTTCTGAGTACTAACGGTGACCCCCTAGAATCAAGACACAATTTCTTCTTCCAATTCTCAGTTATCAAAATGAAATTTTAAAAAACTATCTCATAAAATTAACTAAAGAAATATTTAGATTAAATACTCCGTTTCACGCATACCTGCCCTGATTTAACATCTGAACTTCTTACTTCACTGACAACAATTGACTGTCAATATTGTCAAAGACTTCCACCTACCTCAGGACTTTTTGGAGCAGAGAAAGGTAAAACTAACGTTAACATCAAGAAATACTTATCTGACAGTGAGTGAATGCATGCTTTTTCAACTTGATTATTTGCATAACCATCAACCATCATCCCCAACCATTCCCATTACCCCATAATATTGAAAGCTCAGCTCTTACATGCATCTATTTCCTTTAATCTCTATTCTAAACAGACCTATTGCCACTGATGTCAGTCCATGTCTTACTTGCCACTGATGTCAGTCCATGTCTTACTGTTAAAATAATGATAGCAATTGCTTATATTATCAATATGCTCACTGCGTGCCTGTAATAGGCTTAGTGATTGAACATAATTTTCTGAAAAGTGAAAGCTCTCGGACATTTCACCTGGACCGAATAACTTGATTATAAGATGAACAAACTATAGTAAATTAAGCCAACATGTCACTATAATTAGACATGCAATAGCTCACACTATCATGTGCACTATTTGACACAAATCTGATGGTGTCAATTTGATAGGCAAGAGCAAGAACCCCCTAAAAAAACAACAAAAAACTAAAAGAAAATATTAATTTCAAAATTTTAACCCCCCCCCCCGCAAAAAAACCCCAACGAAAAAAAACAACACAACCCAACCCCAATAAAAAAAACCCCAACGAAAAAGAAACAATCAAAAACAACCACCCCTCCCTCCCCCCCAAAAAAAGAAGAAAAAAGAAAAAACTTTTATTCAAAGTCTTACCCCAGCTTGTCCTGGAGTTTCGGATTTGGCTTTCCTGGCTTTGAGCTTCATCTGCATCTCCGACATCATGTCGATGTGTCCACCCCCTGTGCTGCGGCCGCCTCCACCACCACTACCGCTACCAGCCGACCCGGAACTACCGCGGTCAACCACCACACCAACAACTTCTTTCTCTTCGGGCTGTGTGAGTGTGTGTGTGTGTGTATGTATGTGTGTGTGTGTGTGTGCGAGTGCGTGTGTTTATATATGTGTGTGTGTGTGTGTGTGTGTGTGTGAGGGGAGGGCGAGGGGGAAGAGAGAAAAAGATAACGTTGAAACCACTGTAGAGCAACAAGCTGCAACAAGAGAGTTTCCTTCTACTACGGATGGAGCATATGGCCCCTAGACGAACCATACTCTCATCGCTTAAACACCAAAACTTCTTATATGATCGCTTACTCATATAAGGACAAGCGGGCTAACCCAGAATTTTGGGTGTTTCGAGAAATCTTGACCTACACCAACAGTGGGCATTGGCCTACCTATAGGAGAAGTTTGGTTTTATTGGTGTGTATATTTGTTTGGTTACAGAGAAAACTCTCCTTGTCTGTTAAAAAAACTGAACAAGGGTCCAAAAACTTTACCTTCGATTTTCTCAAAACAACATTTTTCGGGATAGCCCCCTTGTGCTAAAAGCGACCATATTATCTCAGTCAACCTTGGAACCATACTCTCATCTCTTAAACACCACAACTTTTATAGTATAATCTTAGTCAACTTTGGAACCTGCTATGTCACACATACCTCAAACTTTATCTCTTCACAGTGCTTTGTCCCAGGTGCGGGATACAATATCTACATACAGACATTTTTTTTCTTCTGATCATTGCCATTTATGTCATAGAGGAACAACAATGAGCTAACGTCTTCTAATGAAATTGCTGAATTGTAGTTCATGACAAGTTAAAAACCCCCAACCTAGTCACATTATGAGAGGTACTGATTAGGATAATACTTATACTGAAAAGAAGTGTGAAGCTGACCCTACCAATCTCATTTGCCAACCACTACGAATCAGCGAAAAAACAGCATTAGCTAGACAAAATAAAAGAGATGAAGGAAAACGAAAGATAAAACATGTTCATAGTCTACTTGTGTTCCAACCTGAAGTTCTTGTGGAAACCTAGGGTTAACCTACGAAGAAAATACAGTACAAATAAAAAATGCTACTGGGAATTAAAATCTCTCGCCACCTCAGCAAGATATTGTCAAGCAAAAAAAAAATGCTCCACATTGAAATCAATAATTTTCACAAAAGCCCATTTTCTGGCCAGATACTTCTTTAACAGATATCTGGAAGAAGTTAACGGGTCACTCCAACCTTTTCATATGTCCAGCTGAGAATCATGAATTCATGTATTATGCAAGATGTCTGGGTCAGTAGCAAAGAGGGGGAGGGAAGAAGAAGGGGGAGGGGAGGGGGAAAGAGAGAGAGGAGAGAGTGAATGAGAGAGATGGAGAAGAAGAGAGGGGAGATATAGAGATGGACGAAGGGAAAGGAGGAAGACGGAGAAGGAAGGAAGAGGAGAGAGAGAGAACGAGACAGAGAGAGGGAGAGAGAGAGAGATAGAGAGAGGGGGAGAAAGAGAGAGAAACAAAGACAGAAGGAAGGAAAGAGAGAGAGAAAGAGATGGATAGAGAAGGGACAGGGATAAAGGAGGGAGGGAGGGAGGGAGGGAGGGAGAAAGAGATAGAGAGAGAGAGAGAAACAAAGACAAGGAAGGAAAGAGAGAGAGAAAGAGATGGATAGAGAAGGGACAGGGATGAATGAGGGAGGGAGGGAGGGAGAAAGAGATAGAGAGAGAGAGAGGGAGAGAGAGAGAGAGAGAGAGAGAGAGAGAGAGATATTGAGATATTGACAGACAGACATTTGACCCTTGCATTGAACGATCAGTCCATCAAACATATTCAACTATTCCACAGGGTCCGCCCTTCAAGCTTATCCAACTTCAGTAACCATGTTTACACAAGACAAACCCTGCTTAATGAAATGCAATACCTTGGTCTCTTAATTAAAACGACACAGAGACCGTTATGAAAGAGGTCCTTGAAGTAGGATGTGGGACAGGAGAGCCAGGGGAAGACAAAGAGTAACATAGATGGACAACATAAAAACATGGAGTGGCCTGGGTGACACAGCAGAATGCGCTACTGCAGCTTGTGACCAGGAAGAATGGAGGGTCATCAAAGATTCTTTACAACAAAGAATCTTTGGGGCCATTACACGTCAACCTCTGAGCCACCGAGCCAGATATGTTTTTGTTTTAGTAAGTGTGTTTTACGGCACTTGCAACACAACAAGGTCATATGATATAAGTGCCGAAGATTAGAGGTGTTACAAGAGAGTAACAAACACACACACAAAAAAGAAGGAGCAGAGATAAGGATGATAATATGTTTGATAGGAAAGAAGGAGCAAACCACACCAGAGATGACACCTCCAGGTATTCCAGGTAACAATATTATCATGTCCTTCTCATT